CTTTCTTTCCTTTTTCTCTCTCTCTTTCCCCCCAGTTTTTGTGGTTTTGCATGAAAGGGCATTGTTAACTCCTTCACCATCCTGTTGGAAAGGACTCTCTTGGCTCAATTGTTTTGGGTATTTCTGGAAGAGCAGAATAAAGTGCTGTGTTTCTAAAACACAGACTGGAAAAAGGAGAGCAGTGATGGAAAAGATTCACACTGAAACTGCTGCTGTAGGATAATCTCAGCTAGAAAAGCAGAGCCCCTGTTAGGGGTGTACAGGAGCTCTCATCACTTCTGCAAGGCACAGGATGAGGCCATGCCAAGCGGATGCTCCAAACCATCCATYTGAGGGCCAGAAGGTGAGAGAGGTTTGGTAAAAGCAGGGGAYGAGGTGACTGTCCTGGCTGCTCCTCATGGAAAAGGCAGCCAGGCCTCCCCATGCTGCTGCTGGACAGGGCTCACACCCCTCCCTGGCTCAGTGTGTGCACAAAGCCTTGCTTTTGGGYGAAAAACTGGGAATTCTTGCCTTTTTTGCTGCCTAACTACAAAAAAAAAAGCAAAAAGAGCACTTTTGCMCCAGGTCTGTGTTAAATGCCATGCCACACTTTTCTGTGACTGAACAGGAAGTCCGCAACACACCAGGGATACACATAAATTGTGGKAAAATCTGGGTGAATTCTCCCTGGAAGCTGTAGAATGTAGAGGATTAATTTCCCCTGTTGTCCATAGGAGTTGAGGGACTGGAAAGCTGTCATCTGTCATTTAAACCATTTTTTTTTCCTCTCCTCATCCACGGTTGCAGCTGCAGATGGTGGGTATGGTCTCTCTCCCGTGGGGAGGCTGGGCTGGGTCTGTGCCTGCCCTGCTCCAAGAGCTGAATCCTGGAGCTCTGAGGGAATGCTGGAAACAGAGATGACTTCAATAGTTGGCAGCAGCTAGAAAAAGTTATCTTTTTCCTTTAAAATAGAGCGTGTTATGCAAGCAGGTTTTATTATAATTGCGGGTATTTATTATTTCTGTAGATGATAAAATAATCTTCTTGGAACCAATGGGAATGTAAATTTAGTATTTCATGCTATTTGTGAATTAAATAAAACAGCATTTCTTGTACACCTTCTCAAAACATGTGAAAAATCCCCTCTTATATTTGCACACCCTGTGGAAATTAGCACGTGGTATTTTTTGTTTTCAGACTTTGGACAAACCTTTTTATTCTGGTTTAAACAAGTGCATATTTTTTTCCAGCATCCTTCCCAGTATGACTGCTGTTCTTAAATGTTTCTGTGCATGTTAGCATGTATGTTTGTTTTGCCTGTTAGTTCAGTTTTGTAGAACAAATGGAGAAAATGAAAATATAGATTTTTAACCRCAACAAGATTCCCTGCAGACAGGATTTTTTTTTGTACAGCTATAGAAATGCAGCAGCTCAGAGGAAGAGCACAGCATGTAATTCTACATACATCACAGCCCTTTTTTATTACTCTTACCACAGCAGCTGAATGGAGAATTACAGAAACTATGTCCCTGATTCTGTAAAGATTTTAAAAAGAGGCTTAACTTTAGGCATACAGGTAACTTCAAAAGGAATTAAGTGAAAATAGAAGAAGTGTTTCATGACAGATGAATGCATTAAAGAAAATTATCTATACAAAACTTCATCCAGAAGTTCTGGAATTACGTTAATTGACTTTGGTGAGCTAAACAAAAGCTCAGTCGAAATTATTTTCAGAATTTAAACCCAATGCTTTTGCAAAATAACACCAGTGTAATGGATATTTCTATTATTGCATATCCGCTGGTTTTCCGTAGGCAAAGGGTGAAATCCCAGCACTGCGGAAGGGGATGGGAGCATCGCCATTGATTTTACTGATGCCAGAATTTTGCCCAAAACACACTTCCTCTGGCTCTGAGTTTCCTTTTATCAACTCTGACATCGTTTTCTGCATCTCTGCTGTCACATTGAGTGGAGAGCAAGAGCATTTTAAAATTAACAGTGGGCTGGTGCTGCAGAGCTCATCRGTCAAAGCTCTGAATCCGTCTGACAGAGTCTGATCAGGTGTTTGATTTCTYACAGACACCTCTTCCCATGCTCATGTTGGCACACCTGTTGTGACCTGGCTGAGAAATTYTGTGCATTTAGCAAATCCCGGTCTAGCGAGGCAAACCAAGCATCAATTCTGTTTCGCCAGGCAGGAGCAAGCTATGTCAAACACTGCACATCACTTTGTGATCRTGCTAAAGCCACTGCGACAAGAAGCCACCTCAGCAAGCTGTCATTTTAATGTTTTATCCATTTTCCTTTTGTGTGTGTTCGCTCCACATTTCAGCGAAGCCGCGTCTCCCCTGCCCACCGCCACCGGCGACGGGGCTGCGTCTCGAGCGTGTCACGGAGAATGAGCCGGGAAAATTCCACACGGAGCGTTCTGATCGCTGCCTTTCAGAGGAAAAYTCCCTCCTGGTCAGACAGAGAGGAGGAGAAACGAGGCAGTGGGAGATGGGACCAGCACAGGGGCAGCCAGGAGCATTATCCTGGCGCTTTTCTGCGGGACACGGGCGCGATCCCCGCGCGGCGGCTGCGGTGGAACCTCTCTTTTCCCTATCATTGCCACGGCTCTGTGGGATGCCCRTGCCCATTTATCACTTCAAACTAAGCTGAACAGCTCCACTGTAATGCTGCAAATTACAGGCCTTCTAGATCATAATTTTAAAGCACTTAAGTTTGTGTTGTCTTTTAGCTTTTTATTCATCTAGCTAGTTAGGGTTTTGAAGGCCTAATCTAGTTCCCATTAAGACAAAGAAGAGGATTCCTTTCTCTGTGAAGGGTTGTACCTCAGAAGCCAAAAACTTTGTTGTCTGCCTTAGACATGTATATCTTTCAGGCATTAACAGCTCAACCTATAGATTTTTCTTCATCAGTGGGGAAGTTTTATTCTTATCCCCATTTTACAGGATGAAATCTCTTATCCAGTAAAGTATGTGAGCATGTGCCAGTTTCAACAGAGCTGGTGGAATCTTTCCAGGGTAGACTGCATTTGCCAAAAGTGCAATTTGAAGTGGAAAACTATTCACAAATTCTAGTTGAATSTAATGCAGAGTTTTGTCAGAAAGAAAATCAGGGGAAATACTTTTCTCAGGGAAGTTTAAATGCTTCATGTCAGTRTTTTCAAAATAAACTATATAAAGTTTGACCTTACTTACGCCACTTAGTTTTCAAAATTAACCATTTTTGTTCATTATTCTGAAAATAATATGGTAAATTGAATGTTGGACTTCTCAGTAAAAGAGTGAATTTTCACTGCCTACAGCTCGTTTTGATGTTTTGAAATGGAGGCTTTGCTCGGCTACAATGTTTGCTGTTTAAACTTTGGGTTCATAACGAAAGAAGAAATTCCAGTCTAGATCAAGCAATGCAATCTGAACTGACCCAAAATGAAGTTTTGTGTGGATTTGGTGCCTGTTCCACCAGCACTTTGTGTGTTTCAGGTTGAATCATTTCCCTGGTTTGCCGGAGCAGAGGGAACACGTCCGTACAGCTCCGGCTGCAGCCGTTCAACAGCTCCATTGTTTCCACCTGACTCCCGTGGATCTACCTGTGCTGGGAGCCAGCCACGTGGCTCTGAGTCTCCCTGAATCCGTGCCCAAACAAACTCTGGGGAGTCAAACCAGGTGATGGCACAGCCCTGCAGGGAGCCCCAGAATCCTCGCTTGRTGCTCTGAGTTCAGGAGCCTCCTCATCCTCCCCGGTTTGCAGAGCTCCCTAAAACACATCTGGCTTAGGAACGAAGGATGGGGGCTGAAAGGGGAATTATTTTATTTCGCAGCTTTCAGAGCTAATGACCCAAATTGGGGAAGTGTGTAAGCTGGAAGAAATGCCAGGGTGGATTTGAAACTGAGATCAGGGCTAAATTTTTCAGTGGTTCTGGTATTAGTTTAAAAAGTTCTTCTCCCTCTTATGAGTGTAGCTTCCTTTATCTAAATGTGCAGGTAACTTCTCCTAGTTGCCTAGTTTTCCCATCTTCTTGTAATAGCTCCTCATAATAATGCAAAATAAGTGATAAAATAAAAATGAGTTGAAATAATTTTGCAACGACCACTTTAACAATTAATCTGTTCAGGGAACAGCAGGAACAACAGAGACATAAATTTAAACAAATACCACTAAATAGCATAATTACCTTTTGAGTTTCAAACTGTACACTTGAAAAAAGAAAATACAACCAGCCAAGAGAGAAGGAAACATGATCCAAAGGATGCTTATTACACACCAAAATATTTTCCACCAAACTGAGTTTTATGAAGTTCCCAATGCCCCACGATACGTATCTGCAGCTCACTCATACTGCC